CCGAACCGACTGAACACGGGGTGTGGCTCGTCGCTTTCGCAGGTTCAAAGGCGTTTACCGCACCTGGGAGTTCGAGGGAAGGCGCGGCAGGTCCACGCGCAGTTACCCAATGTTAAGTTTTCCACGCATAATCAACTTGTGAAGATTGGTTATCGGCACACGCTGCTGATACGGCCAACAGTCGCAACCTCTTACGCGAGCAGCCGTGATCGGGAAAACCAAATGTGGCGCGTGGCGCCGCATTCTAATACACGGCTCTGGATCCAAAGTCCAAGGGCTAGTCACTTGCACCACTTGCGCTCCTGCCGTCCCATGCCCAGCCGCGCAAGACCGCACGTTACATCCCTGCCATGCTAGGACGGCTACTAACCGTGGTATTCCTGGCCTTCTTCGCCATCATCTAGAACAGAACGACGGGTCACAAGCGGGACAGGCGGCAGCCGGCCACAAGCGAAGGCAAGCGGCGCGTCGACGACTGCAGGCAGGCGACACCACAGACGACCCCGACCATTATGGTCCAGCATGGCTGCGGCTCTAGCGCCAGTCACGGATCCAGACACAGCCAGACGGGGCCAGCACAGCCGCGGCTCCAGCGCCAGCCAGAGACCCAGACGGGGCCAGCACAGCTGCGGCTCCAGCGCTAGCCGGAGACCCAGACGGCGCCAGCACAGCTGCGGCTCCAGCGCGAGCCAAAGACCCACACAGGGCCAGCACAGCTGCGGCTCCAGCGCGAGCCAGAGACCCAGACGGGGCCAGCACAGCTGCGGCTCCAGCGCGAGCCAGAGACCCAGACGGGCCAGCACAGTTACTGCTCCTGATCCCAAGCGGACGACACAGCGGCACAGTGGGGTACAGCCCGACACAGCCTCGACCCTGGCATGCTGCCAGGCAGCGCCGTCAGACGAGCTCCCAACCCCAGGCAGGTGACGTCAGCGGCACGGCGTCGTGCAGTCATACACGGCTCCGGCTCTGCTCTCCAGACAGGCCACGAGGTCCGACGCCGGCGCGCCGACCGCCAAGCAAGACGCTGGCAGCGGCCTCCAAGCACTGAGCGCGCCCGCCAGCAGCCCAAGCCCAGCCGCGGCGGCCGTGCCGCAGCCAGCTCGGCCCCAGCCTACCACACGACGGCCCGGCGCGTCCGCGTCCGTCCGCGCGGCCATCAGCTCCCGGAGCCGGCCGGCGCTGGATCGGCTCCAGCCTACCACACGACGGCCGGGCGCGTCCGCGCCCGTCCGAGCGGCCGTCAGCCCCCGGAGCCGGCCGCCGCTGGATCGGCCCTCACCGTAGAAGTAGCGTCGGAAGCGACGGCGCCGGTCGGCCGCGTACTTGCTGCCCTGCACCGGCTCGCCGGACGGGCCCGTCACGTTGGCCGCCTCGTTGCCCTTCTCGCCGACCACGACGTCGAACTCGACGATCTCGCCGTCGCCCACGCTGCGCACCAGCTTGCGCGGGTTGTTGCGCGTGATGGCGCTCTGGTGGACGAACACGTCCTCCTTGGTGTCATTCCTGGCAGGGCAAGGGCGGCGGGCTCCGGTCAGTTGAGCGTACACCGCCGGTGGCGGCGCCGGCCGCTCCAGCACACCGAGCGGCACAGTTTGGCCGCGCTGACGCGACTACGTTCGTTGACCTTGCGGCGCGCGGCTTCAAACCAAATCGCTCGAGTACCGACGGAATCACTCTCATGCTGGTGTTACACCAGCACCGAAACCCAAGAGACACTGGTAAGCCATATGTTGGGTAACAATGCAATTAAACTTCATAAGGTCTAGTATGACCGCAACCTCGACACACACAGATGGACAATGATGAAAAGGGTTGCAGATCTCCAGGACCATATAAATGTTGAAAGATGAACTATCTGACATCTCAACATATCATGTACATCATGTCTCAAGCTGTGGCTTATGACACACAACAAAGATATTCACATGCAAACACAGAAAATGAAGCCTTTGTTCAGACTGAACATAGCCAACAGTCATTTACAGCCCTGCCAATGCCGAAAGACTCAGTTCTAAGATGATGCAATGCTTACTTCATAACCCCTGTTACTGACTGCAATTTGCAGGTTCAAGCCCTGTCAATGATGTGAAAATTACTGATAAGGTATTTTTAATGATAGGGATCATGATGGTCATGCTTTTTCTTGCCTTAGATATGGACTGGCCCCCACATGTATTAGAAGGGAACATCAGAGCTGTGATACATTGCAGCTCCTAATTTGGGTTCACAGTTCTGTGTACTATGGTGAATTTAATAACATTCCTGGTCTCATGTTTATGGGGAATGGAGGATTTATTTTTTGTTGAAAAAATGACCTCTAGTAACCACATGAAACATGGAAAGAATGGCAAAATGACATTTTCAGTGTGCACCAAGCACAAGCAGATTTTGCTGTATTTACAGAGCAATGGGATCCTCGCCGTGGCCCTTCTTGCTGTGGTCAACAAAATTTAAATACACATTGACAACTGAGGTCATTTGGCATCCACTTAACATGTTAGAAATACCCTACAAGTGCTGAATACTTTTGACTCTACCCCAGCCTGACCTGTTGATGAAACCATAGCCACTCTTGACGTTGAACCATTTGACGGTGCCAGTGACCTTGGTGGCTGAAACGGAACATCATGGAGTTAAGATCGATATGCTGTCACCCCAAGAGAACAAGCCATTAACCACACCACACAGCCATTAACCGCATTAACCAACATATATAATGATCATGGGGATCTGGATTCATGCATGCCATTTCAGCCCCATCCAACATGTTTTTGCTTCACTTTACCTTAAGCTGCTTGAGATTACGGTCGACTTTGCCTGCAAGCCCTGATATAAGAATAATGACAAGTTTCTGTATTCAGAGCTACTCTAAGGTGGCACATAAAATTAATACAATGAATCTGTTGAAGCCAAAAGGGCACCTCACTGGTTTTTACATTGGTATAGCATGGTGGAGAGGACCACAATGGCAGGCAAAACATTTGAATAATTAACCACTCTCAATAAAAGCTGCTCCGACTGAACCCAGAGCAAACCCGAGATGTGGGTTAATGATAAAACCACCCCAAAGTCATTTGGTTGAGTCTTTCCTGGAGTGTGAAAAATGTCCAAAACATAACCATCAGGATCTCCAATGGTATCACAAGAAATACAATGCCTCCTTTACCAACTACGGTTAGAGATACCACATCATACAATTTCACAACAGGACACAAAAAGTAATAGTTCCTTTATTTCTTGTGATGATTAGATATTGGGGTTTTGACACATTTTGGAAACTCCCTTAGCCCCAATATTTTGTATATACTAATTTTGCCAACAGAAATTTAAAAATCCTTCACTTTATGTTGCCACATGTTCTCTACTCCCACTGAACTAGTAAAGAGAACAAAAAAGTAATGCAATGCTGTTTAGAAAATACTGCTGATAAGCCACAGCCTTTACAAATGATTCATCTAAAAAATGTGATGCAATCAAGTTATTTGGTTGTGATCTACTATATCATTGCATGATATGCAGTAGAACACTAATAATTCAGCACAGCACTGTAAAAACCTTTGGGCACTATAAGGTTGCTTGTAAGAAATGATCTCATACTGCATAAGCAGCTGTCACCCATGATCCTCATAGGATGGTTGTAGGAATAGAGAAAATTAAGAGCTAATAAAATCAAAGCCATGGTTTACATAATTAGTGGACCAATATGCTAGCCACATCTCATTATATCCTGTTCTAAGCCTAAATAAGCAACTGGAGAGGCAGCATTTGAGACAGCAAAGCAAGATTCCAAGTCCCAAAATCCCATGAAAAAATTGAATGATACAGCTAAAAACCATACATTGCAAGATCAGATAAGAGATCAAATCACAATACAATGTGATTCAAAGCTCCATGCACATCCAAATCACCACAACTGAATAAACTTAGCAACCATGATACTTATTTCCCTGAAATACTTGGGTTGGAGGTTTGAGTTGGTCCAAGCCACACTTCCCCATGCTACATTTCAACTATCTTATGGTTACTCTCCATTCCTTTAGTCTCTATTAAACATTTTGTGTCACTACTTAGCTATGGATAGCATGTGGCATGTGCTTGACATGCACCTTCTGACAATGCAAGGGAACATAAACCCATAAGAGCCCTGATTCAGCTCCCTCCCCCCCCCCCCCCCCCCCCCCCCCTCCCCAAATGCTTCCCTCAACCATACCATCTTGAGCAAAATGTCAGCACATCCTCGTGGCAATAGTCGAAACGAAACTTGAATGAGTGGTTTTAAAGAGTCACACAACACTCTGGCAAGCATTCAAAGCACTCAACCAAATACGATAGTCGACGGCATCGCTAATCCTCACTCAACACGCGGTCCAACTTCTCGACGAAACCAACGCACAGGTGAGGCGTTTCCAACGCATCATTTACAGGCCGGTTTTGCGGGAAGGAGTGCACAACAAGGCTTACCAATAAGTTCTTTTTTCCTTAACAGCCTCTTGTTGTTCAGGCTGCTTCTCCGAATCTGCCATGGTGTTGGCTGGCGATCTTAAATGATGGAACGATTAGCCCCGATGGATGGTGTTCCTCCTCTGCTAGGTCTTGTCCAACATGGCGCAGGCACGTTGCCATGGAGTTTGCAGAAATGCTTTGCTGTGATTGGTGGAACATACTGGGCCCGAAATAAGCTACCAATAAGGGACGGTATCGCGGACGTGCACTTGTATGTCAGTGGCGGTGCATTGCAGATTTTGGAGCTCGTGTGCCGCGACGGATCAGTTGAAGGTTGTCTAATAATGGTGAATAGTAATGATCCTAGCATTACTTAAGCAATGACTAATGCATTTCGGGGAAGCCATGCGCCATAAAAACGAATTTGGACACAAATATTGTCATGCGTTTGCTAAAGCCAAAAAGCAAACAAATTTCACAAGACATTTGTCTCTTTTATGATACTTCTTTCGAAAACGATAATTCTGATAATAAATAATTATCTCTATGAGCTTTGGATAACATTTTGCTGAAAGCATAAAGATTGAAGAACGCATTCTTTGGTGGAAGGAAATTTGGTAGTGATATGGGACCCTTAACGACGCTAATGTTTCATACATGGTGCGCCTTCACCTTTCGCGTGTCCCGTGTGCTGGGCCATGTCGTGTAAACTCTAAAGTTGGGGAAGAGTCACAAAGCCGATAACGTCGGGCTGGTCGCATTACTACTGCGGCGGGCTAGGTAGAGCAGTGGTCGGCTGTGTCGCCTTTTCGCCGTTTGGTAAGCTCTTTTAATCTTCCTCAGTGCTTACTGTTTTACTGATGTATATCATGCTGCTTACTAAAAGCTGGCCGTCAATTCGCCTGCGTATCTGGCCCTCGGTCAGTTTTCCAACATAAGTGATTTTCAACTGTAGTTGTGTCCGCACGCTGATTGTTATCTGCATGTATGTGCGAAATAAAAGCCGGGCCAAATTGTGCCCAATTTTTGGCATGATTTTTGTGCAGAAATGTTTTTGTGGGATTTCTGCCCAAAGTTACTTCTGCAGCATCACAGCTCCTTAAAATGTTGACTCTACACTGAAATTCATGGGAACTTGCACCAAACACTGATATACATGCAGGGAAATTGTTGTTACAAAGCTGCTCCCATGTTTAGATTATCATACTTAACTTTTTGCTGCAAAGCTGCTCCCATGTTCAAAGTAACATGTTTTTCCAGTCTGGATTAGCTTGAGTTGTGCAGATACCAGCTATGATGCATATCAAAGGCCTAATAGTATGTTGCATATGCAAACATTATCCAGACAGTAAGACATGGCAAACTCAACAAGATCCTGTTGGTCGCAGACCTGCGTTAAGTGTGCTGATTGATGTTAACTATGCACCAGCTTTGCTTACTTAAGCCTCCTCAAGTTTCCACTTGAGTACAAGTAAAATAGTATGAGCACAAGTCAAGAGCACAGTGATCACTTCCTAGAGGATAATGATGATAATGTTTGGCTTGTTATCACTGTTCTCTCAACCACAACAAGCACGTTTCCACCAGTGATGGATCTAAAGAAGAAACCGTTTATTATATCTATTCAGTTGTCCAAGAATTGAATAGATTTATGAAATGGTGGTAATGTGAGACTTGTAATTTGAGACTATGTCAGCCCGGAATTCTAAGTATCACATTACATCTCTTGGAAACTTTAGCATTTTGATGTCATCTGTCCTGAAACCATTTTGTAAGGATATAGATGTTAGGTATGTTTTGTTGTCATGCTTGACTGTAAACAGCATGACACTGTTTTGCAGCACATGATGCCGCCCCGGCGGGCGCCGTCGCGGTGGCGCCGCCTGCGGGCTGCCCTCTCGCCGGACCAGCTGCAGCGCTACCTCTTTAGCCCCGACTGCTGTGTGCCAATGGCAGGGCTTCTACTGCTCGCCGAGTGCGTCATCAACGTGGCCGTGATCGAGCGCGTCAAGTACACAGAGATCGACTGGCGCGCCTACATGCAGGAGGTGGAGGGCGTGTGGAATGGCACACTCGACTACTCGCGCCTGAGCGGCGACACCGGTCCGCTGGTGTACCCGGCCGGCTTCGTGTACGTCTTCCTCGGCCTGTACCATGTCACTGCGCAGGGCGCCAACATGAGGCTGGCACAGTACATTTTCATGGTCATCTACCTGGCCAACCTGGCACTGGTTAGTCGCATCTACGTGCGGAGCCGCAAGATCCCGCCATACATGCTGCTTATGATGAGTCTTACCTCCTACCGCATCCACTCCATCTATGTCCTGCGTCTCTTCAACGACCCGGTAGCGATGCTGCTGCTTTACGCCAGCATCAACTGCTTCATGGACGGCCGCTGGTCGCTGGGCAGCGTGCTGTTCTCACTCGGCGTCTCGATCAAGATGAACGTGCTGCTGTTCGCGCCGGCGCTGCTGCTGGCCTACATCACGTGCCTGGGCTGGGCCGGCGCCGCGCGCCAGCTGACCATCTGTGCCGCGCTGCAGCTCGTGCTCGGCGCGCCGTTCCTCGCTACCAACCCGATGGCGTATGTGCGCGGCGCGTTCGACCTGGGTCGAGTGTTCCAGTACCAGTGGACGGTCAATTGGCGCCTGTTGCCTGAGGCGCTGTTCCTGGACCGGCGGCTGCACGCGCTCCTGCTAGCACTACACGTGGTCACGTGCGCAGTGTTCGCCCGCCGCCGTTGGTACCGCTTTCTGGAAGGCTTCGCGCGCCTGCAGGCGGCCGACGGCCCGGCGATTCGCTGTCAGCTGCTGCTGCTGCCGCTCTTCACGTGCAACCTGGTGGGCATGGTCTTCTGCCGCTCGCTGCATTACCAGTTCTACGTGTGGTACTACCACAGCCTGCCGTACCTGCTCTGGAGCGCCAACTTCTCGACGGCCACGCGGCTCTGCATGCTGGGCCTGGTCGAGCTCTGCTGGAACACGTACCCGTCGACGCCGCTGAGCTCGGCGGCGCTTCACTGTTGCCACCTGGTGCTGCTGGGCGGCCTCTGGCGGACGGGCGCCGTGCTGGCGCAGGTGGCGCCACCGGTCGGCGTCCGCAAGCTCAAACAGTGACGTGCAGCCGTCAGTTACGTGCCTTCAGGTGTGTGGACCCGGGAACAATGGCACGCTGCAGTCGTGGGCTCGGCACTGAGTTACTACACTGTGGCCGCTGGCGTGGTGTTGCCGTGTTAAGGGGTGGGGGTCGGGTGGACCGTATCTAGTCTCGCAATAAAGTTGGTAAATCTGTGGATTTTGTATTTGACCAGGGATAGTGACGTGGCTGGGATTTTGTGTGGAACACTGAGCCGTAGCTCGTTGACGGATTTGAATAGCTGTCCTCTTATAAGTCATTGGGGTTACATGTGCGCGCTCGCATGTTGCACCGTACGTGGGGCTTGACGATTGATGTCCAGTTATTGATTCAAGACGCGAAAGAACTGCGACTCAGTGTTGGCATTGCATGGGTTGGTGTGGTGCCAGAAAGTCATGTTTCTGAATGTTAACTTTCTGACTAGATCAGAGGATGCGAAACGGATGCGCGGCATGGCATTGCAAAACCAAACCACAGTCAAATTGGTCCTCTATGGCAAGACGTAGAAGTGTTGCTTGAGTGGGGAAAGAACACTGAAGAGCACGCAGTTGCCGTTCTGGATTCCCACAGACGTAATGCCGCGCTAACGTTTCTAGATAGACGCTGTCGTCCATTTACCGCAAAGGTCTTCGAAGACCGAACCGCTGGCGCAGAATAATTGCGTTTTTGTTTTTGTTTGTGGACCTCGTCTTAGAGATATTGCCAAATTGACGTCCAAGCCTCCTGCGCAAGAGCTTCTGCTAAGCCAACACAGGGTCTGCCAATTGGTTGAATACATACAAGCAAGTCCAAATGGCTGGCGCTGTTGCACGGTACATTTCGACGACGTCAGCTGCAGTTTGTTCACTCCAGCAAACCATCCCAGCTGGCTCCAAAAATCGAGCACAAAACCTGCGGAAAACCGGTCAAAAAGTCACGACCTGCGTGTTAACGTCAGCCCCCGTAAGACGTTGACAGACCAACAGCACGAGAGGACCGGCGGCCCGTCTGTCTTGTCGCTCCTAGGACAAGTTCGGGTGGCTCCGGTGTGAACGCGCGACTGCCAGAGCAGGGGGGAGGGTCCTGAAGCCTGTTACGACATATCGTGAAAGGCGTGCCCACTGTCTGCATGGTACAATCAGAGCATGAGGCACACGTTTTGCCAGGACAAGGCATGTTCAGCCTGCGAACGTGCCACAGACGTGACGCCCGCTCACCGAGCTCATGCGATCGTCGAGCGTGCTCGTTATGGTACGACACGCTCCTGTGTGCGCTGCGTCGCTCGAGCAGCTTCCGCGCCCTTCGGCTGACGTCACGCGTCTGACCTCACGTGCTGCATGCAGCTGCATGTGCTGTCGGCGACAGTACATGTAAGCAGCCATATCATGCGGCCATCGCGCCGGCCGGATAGTCGACAGCGTCGGAAAGCAAGTCATCGCCGGATGGTTCCGAAACTAAGTCCTGTGCCACCGCTCCTAGAGTAGTTGGCATTATTGTGCTTTCAAGATTTTATTCCGAACCTTTTGATTGGATGGATTTCTGGGATCAGAGCTAGCGCTGAGCCCTGGTCTCCTGCCATTCGATCGTGAAATTCCAGGTCAACGGCAGAATTTGGTGGCAAACGTTTAACGTACCGCCATGTTCGTCACGGTCTGTCCTGCGCCCTGACGCGACCTGACCTTTAGCGCGGCTGCTACCACCGGCTTCAGGCTATACCTCTGAAGGGCAAACCCTTTGATAACTACCTAACTCTGTATTTGGTCCTTCCGGCACTGTTCTGGCGGGATTGAAATGCACGTAGATGGGCGTACTCAGTATCTGCTGAACAAAAGGTCCGCTTTTGTCAATGTCAGGGCTGGTTGACAATGGCAAATCACTCAAACACACCCATTGGTGTCGGCCCACAGTTCGCGGGACGGACGCCGGCCGCTGCAGAACCGGCCGGCGATCTGACCCACTTTTCAGCCGCCGTTTGTTTAGGCCGTGCATTGGTTTGAACGGTGAGCCGCCTATTGACCAATAGCCGGCGGCGGCGGGGCGCGTGCGCCGGCCCGGCAGCCGCCGCCGGGGCTGCCAGCGGCGCAGAGCGACGTCCGGCGGCGCCGGGCACGGGCAGTGTCTCGGGGCGGGGCGTGGAGGTGACGACGTGCGGCCAGGCGAGCGGGGACCCGGCTCAGGTCAGTGTGGGGGTGACCCGGCTTAGGTCAGTGTAGGTGAGGCCCGGCACAGGTCAGTGTTGCGGAGGCTCGGCTCAGGTCAGTGTAGGGAGGACCTGGCTCAGGTTAGTATGGGTTAGACCCGACTCAGGTCACTGTGGGGGAGACCCGGGTCAGGTCAGTATGGGGTGGGCCCGGCTTAGGTCAGTATAGGAATGACCTGGCCCAGGTCAGTGTCGCAGAGGCTCGGCTCAGGTCAGTGTAGGGATGACCTGGCTCAGGTCAGTGTAGGGATGACCTTGCCCAGGTCAGTGTAAGTTAGACCCGCCTCATGTCGCTGTGGGGGAGACCCGGGTCAGGTCAGTATAGGGATGACCTGGCTCAGGTGAGTACAGGGTAGGCTTGGATTCGGTCGGCGCGGTGGGGTAACTGGTACGGAGGTCAGGTTAACGTAGGAGGCAGCTCAGTGTAGAAGCTCCGGCTTGTCATTTCAGGGATTGATGAGTGGTGGGGGGAGATTTTGTCTGGGTTATTGTAGCGAAGCCCCACTTTGCACTGTAATCTGGACTCGGGGGTGTTCAACGCAGCACATTTGGCTCCGGTCCGTATGTTGGAGACTCCTCTCACGATGGCGTAGGAGTTTGGCTCAAATCTCTGCAGGGCAGGTTCGTGTTTGGTCTGTGTGGAGGTCACTGGATTCCCACGTGATGCTATGATTTTACATCAACATGAGGCACTGTTGGAACACATTACTTGAGCTGGCGGCAAGCCCAACGTGTTGGGTGCATTTAATTTTCCTGTTGCCTGAGCTTTGCTTTTAGTGCCTGCAAACAAATCGGTACATTTTCCATTTAATTCTGATTTGTGCAACCAAGCTGTAGATCATCTTAGCTTTCGGTTTCGATTTATAGAAGAAAATAAACTTTTCCGCTAGATTCGTCGTTTTTGCATTGATTGCTACAGCTATTTAGATGAATGTTGATAACTATGACTGGAAGGAGCAGAACCGGTGACGTTTTGTGACTTTTTTGGTGTCTTGCTGACATTTTCTGAAGCCGCTTCCTGTACCGGTAACCACTCGTCATTTTTCGCGAATTGCCTCCCAACCTAATCCTCTGCCCGTTCCGTTATTGCGTATATATATATATATATATATATATATATATATATATATATATATATATATGTGTGTGTGTGTGTGTGTGTGTGTGTGTGTGTGTGTGTGTGTGTGTGTGTGTGTGTTGACCCCATCCGTGAGGCTTTCCGCTGTTAGGGACGGCGAGTTAATTTCGAATGAATGAGTTGAGTGAGTTGATTGAGAGAATGAGTTTATTTCGAATGGATCAATTTCAGCATGCTCAACTCCCACTGGCAATCCAAGTCGAAAGATTAAATGATATATTACAGTTCCGCAGCCTCAATATTGCCGCAACGCATGTTATCGCCAGCCACAGAAAGTGAAATCATCTGTTTACATTTTCAACACCGGATCAGGACACCGTACACTTGTGGCTCTGGGTCTTTAACATGCGTTTTACGTTTCTGAAGTAATACGAAAAACAAAAATAAAAACACTCAGGAACCATGTGGTAAATTGGCGTCCGGCAACTTCAGTAGAACTCTTTCGTATATGTCGGGATTCTAACAAGCATGCCTCTGAGGTATAGTCGCTTGGACAATCGTCCCTTTCTGGTAAGATGGTATGCCCTATGTGTTAGCATGTGTACATACATAGATACCAGACGAGAACGATAGTCCAAACAGTTATTCCATCCGTGGTACTAATACCTTGTCTCAATCTTTCTACAGAACTGTAAACATGCTCCTTTTGATCGTGCCATTCTGTGGAAACGGCTTTGTCATGATGCCCCGAGCTCGCTCTGTTAACCTTGCTGTAGCTGCAGGGTGCGGAGGCGAACAACCTATAGGCAGCTTTGAGTTCACTATACTTTTACAAATCTTACGACGAAAATAATTTCATATTGGTGATGTCTGTTTTCCAAGGATGACACATGAAATGTGCGAAGCAAACCTGCATGGTATGAGGGCTGCGCTGTGGCGGATGAGCGCGAGTGATATGCCAACCACATAACTCAACGTTGCTACACCCATTCAACTCTGTACAAGTACACCCTCGGTGCACCTCCCCAGATAACACTGCAAGATTCTGCATGATGTGCATGTAAGACGAAATGAATGTAACCGTAGGAAACAGTTAAGATTGATGCGCGTCTGAGCACACCTCTATGCCCGTATTGAGCGCATTGGGAGACCCATGCATCTATAGGCCTTGTATCGGAGGCCAACCAGATGTCTCTTGTGCCCTCCACTCGCTCCAAACGAATGCCAAGAGTTGTGTCGTCGCCATTGCGTAAAGACCGTAAGTTCGTAACTGGTCCGACATTGTGTGGTGGAGCGCATGGTGTGAGGAGACCCTGCTCTCCGGTCGCATTTGCAGTGATTCGGCATTTCGTAGTCCCTACCTGCGCTTCGTACATATCGTGCCTAAGTTCGCATGATGAATGTAGAGCATCGGGTTGGCGAGCTTTTCGTGGCCAATCCCGAGTAATGTCCTTGATAAGGATACCGAACACCATTCACCGCCGGCTTTCGTGTTATCCAAGCGCTCTTTCCTCGATTTTAGCGCCTGTTTCTCTCACTTGTGACCACGTTTAAGGAAGACTTCCAGAACTTCCAGACTGAAGACATTGAATATCTGCTCGACTCATCTGTCTTACGCCTGTCTTATTCTCTATGTTGTGGGGGTTCTGAATGTATGCTGTATGAACAGTGCTCTGACAGCATATGACCTGATCTGGGAATATTCGTGCGGCCACAGTGTTCTTTGACTGAGGCTCGTGAGTTAGCTGAGCGACTCATCGCCTGCACACCTGGGTCGGCAATAGAATCTGTCTTATTTTGGGTCAAAATTATGCAATGAGGTCGCATAATCAGTCGACGAAGTTCTGCTAAGTGCGGATTCCATGATCTAGCTGATATATTACTCATGTGTTTGTACCCTTATAAAAAGGTGTTGTGCGTGTGTGTATGCGTGTGTGTGTATGTGTGTCTGCGTGCGTGCGTGCGTGCGTGCGTGCGTGCATGTGTGTGTGTGTGTGTGTGTGTGTGTGTGTGTGTGTGTGTGTGTGTGTGTGTGTGTGAGGGAGAGAGAGAGAGTGCTCGCTCTCAGGCCGTTTTGTCGCTGCTTGCAATCGTAGCGCGGCAGGCTTCGGTGGCGGCTGCGCTGCAGGGCACGTCGGACCGGCCCATGAGGCCACACGTGGCCTGCTCCTCTGGTCGATAGCAGACAGCAGGCGGACACTGGAGCAGGGGCGACACAGGTGTGCCGCTGGCGGCCCGGCGCCGCCGTACCTCGGCTCATGTGTGTGTGTGGCCGTCTACGTCCGGCCCACCCGGCCGTCGCCCGCCCCAGCCGCGCGTGGCAGCCCAACGGCGGTAGACGGCGCGTGGCGAGCGGTTTTTGCTCGGAAACAAAAAGACTCCCGTCCTTGCACCGACGTCAGATAGTTGGATCGTTTGTTTCGTTTTGGTGGTCTGATGCTCGTCGGCGATATCGTGATAGGCCGGCGCGTTTTCGCTGTTTGGAAACACGAATACAAGCACATTTAGGGCTAGGTGATAACGCTGTGCCGTCTAAAAAAAAAAACTGAAAAGGTCGCGGTATGCAGTTTGCTCATTTTTCATGACATCTTTCTATTGGTTTTGATAAGGGAGCGCCGCTATTTTATCTGCACTCCGTAATATGTCTTCCCCAATGTTTTCGTTTTTCGCTCACGATGGTTTGACGGTTTCTATGTTGTGCGCTAAGCCCATATGAATTTCACGTGACTGGTTGAAAAACGGCATATGTCCACTTTTGCGCAACGCAACAACAGTTAGTAATTAATTTCATGTCCTTTAAACATGATTTCAAATAAATGGAACGACTGCATACATAATTTGAAGTTGATGCAGAGAATCTGTTCTATTAGTCCTTTTCTATTCTCCTCCTTCGTTTGGTGGTAATTTGATTATTTGTAAGCCGCAATGCAATTTAAAAAGCTTGTATAATGTATGATCATTGTGTTTAAGCAAAGCCTGAATTACCTACATCAGTCAATGATTTCGTGCCATGAAAACCAGCCACAAAACCAAATCACATATATCGAACACTGATGCGTTTAGCTGTACGGTGCTTCGACCCTGCATTCGTCAGGAAGGCACACGCACGCAGACCGTTCCGCCGTCATTTTCGTGACACCTCCGGGTTGATTTTCAAATAACTTTACTGTCCCCCTTCTGGAGCTGGAGTGTCCGAACGCGCTTGCCCCCTGTTAACCTACTTTGCTGATCAATGCCCGTGTGTCATGCATAGGACAGAGCTGTGGGTACAGAGAGGTTTCATGTATTGTGGTACCCATGTCAACTTGCCTCTTGCAACAGCCCCGGGGTCTCAAGCCCGTGCCGAGTGCTCACAAGACTCAGCTTCAACAGGAACTGACCGTCTGGGTTGCGATCTGTCAGAAATGGCAGCAGAGTTGCCTCCCAGCGCGTCGCTACGTTGCACCGTCAGCACTTTCTTGCTGACCATGACCACTGGTCAAGAATTGATCCCGCCCGGGGTTATGGCCAGCTATATCAGCAGTTTGTGAGGGCACCTGCTTGCCGCTCAGATCTGGCTTGAAAGGCAACGGTGCCTTCGGCATGAGTTTAACGTTCCACACAGCTGAGCATTTGATTTGACATTTGTCGCACATGATCAGCCGGGCACCGGTGTGCATGCAGTAGAATTCATCCTCAGTGATCCGGTTCCTACCAATTGAGCACTTGATATTGGCTCTCGAGTAAATTTCGGGCTCTCTGGTGGTTTGCCTGCAGTTACGTAACCTCAGGTGTCTTGACAATTATTCGTTACATCACCCCATTCTTCTCTTCACGTGTGACTTTGGTGCGCCAAATCGTTTTTCCGAGGCGCGCTTAGATATACCCACGCTGCTCTCAGAAGTTCTGACAGCTGACGT